AGTGATGAGATTAGTGCTTGATGAGATTAGAAGTGTGCATTTTATGTAAAATTCAGTTTGAAAATAAAGTGAAGCATGCCTATTATTCAGCTCTTAAATTGCTCCTTTTATCTCTTCAGATGCTCTAAGACAGCAGTTTTTAAGGTATAGACTAGAGATTCCTGAAGGGTCCCCAAGAACCGTTCGGAGGGTGTGTGAAGGCATTTCTTCTTNTTTTTTTTATTTTAGAAAATAGTTATTTTTATTTTAAGATGTTGTACATGTTAATATGTCATGAGCTTGTTGCTTTTCTAAAATTAATAAGTATTTTTAAATTTCTCAGTTTTAACTACTGATAGAGTAAATAATACTGGGTATAACTCCATAAGCAAAAGCTCCTTGGGGTCCTCAATAATTTTTTTTAATATAAAGGGTTCCTGAGACCAAAAACTTTGAGATCTTGTGTTCTAAAAGTGTTGTTACTTTTAATGATTGTATCTCCCTGGGGGAAGACAGAAAATCATACCCAACATGTTTTTCTTCTTCCTGGCTGCCTGACTTGAGATAATGAAAAGGTTAATGAACTATTGGTGGAAAGTGACCAGTCAATCTAAACAAAAATGAAATGATGAATCCTGCCATTTTTTTGTCAAATACATTTAAATGCCTCCCCCACACATATGTATATGATTATATCATGACTTTTGATAATCTTTCTACACCAAATAATTTGTAGCAAATTATTCTTGCATGTTCTTTTAAAAGCCAGGATTATGACTTTTAGCAATTCATTGCTATTTTGTTTTTATATTTGTTCCTCTCGTAGTGCATAGTCCTAATTCTATTATTTTCTCTAAAACTTTCATTCTTTTTTCCAGTTTAGCTCTCCTTTATGGAGTGCCACATAATGTTTTGTTGTTGTTGTTGTTGTTGTTGTTATTTTTTGTGTAATTTGCACTTAGAACATAACTACCATTCCTGTTTCATAAAGTCACAACATTTAATGAGAATCTTCATATTAATAGTACTTTGCTAAACCAAAACTTAGCAAATCATTTCATTTGTTTTTGGTTTTGTGTTGCTATTTTTAGTGTCATTTTCTTCCCAAAGCAATAGAGTTTCTAAATTGGGTAGTACTGGGGGAGATATCAGTATTTTCTATTGGTCCCAAGCTATGCAATTCTTTGGTATGTTCCAAAGCTACTACTGTATGAAGAACTCTGCTCTTCCCCTTCAAACCCAGCTTATATCAAGATACAATATCTTCCTTCTCAGGGGATATGGCAGGTTTTCCCCGGGTATCATTCAAGGCCAAACATGGTCCCCCATCATTCTCTCATTTCTCCTTCCACTCTCATTACTTCCCTCTCCATTATTCTCCCCATCTCTCTCTCATTTTCATTTCCCTCTCATTCCCTCCCCTTAATCAGTCAAGTAATAACTATTCATTGAGCATCTCCGTGGGAATCATGTACTAGGCAACGAGTCTGAATCCCAACTACCATGCCTAGTTTTGACATTGTACAAATCTCTTAGCCTCTTTGTGCCTCAGTTTCCTAATTTCTAAAACATTAGAGGACTTATGTTGGGGCCCAGAAAGCAATACCCCAAAGAGAAGGCCTCAGCGGCCTCAAAAGCAAAATTTTCCTCTTACCTACTCCTGCCCTCCTGTCTCTCAGCCTCATTCTCTCCCAAGGCAAGCCATAGAAACTAGAATGCCTCTTCCCCAAGGAGGGGTTACAGATATACTTTAGTCTTCCCCCTGCCTCTCTGTCTTGGAGCTGGCCATAAAAAAATTCCCTGACCTATGTTGTCTGATTGTACGTCGTAAGACCCCAATCCAGAAAGAGTCCTGCCCGCTACCCTAGAGGAATGAATGCTACACAGAGAAGCCAAGAAGAATCTGAACAGACAGGCCCTGCTGGGTTTCCCCATTCACTGTGTTAGCATTAGATCACACTTCTCTTGTCTTTTCACATTTCTACATGGCTGTGCCTACTTCCTAGAACCTAAGTATAAATATCGACAATGTTCGTTATATCTTTGGGTCTACATTCTGAAGGCTCCCATGTTACATAAAACTACAATCAAAAGAATTTTATTATTTCTTTTGTTCATATTAATCTGTGTTTATCACGTGATTTTTTTTTTTAGAGAATCTTCAGGGTTTTGAAGGGGATGTCTTTCCTTGGCCCCTATGCTTACTTCCTAGAGTTGTTGTGAAGACTAAATGAGTTAACAAGTATTAGGTGTTTATAATTGTGTATGGGATATAGTAAGTGCTTAGAACATATAAGATGTTATCTGAATGTGATAATTACCTTCTGTAATGAGTGAGCTAGACCTGGTGAGACATGAGCAAAATCAACTTCAGTTTTTGTCACTGTTGTTCTGGAAAATCCACTCTGTGAATTCATTCTTCCCCTCCATGAATAAAATTTCAGGCAACTCCCATAGCTTCTTCAATCTCTGTTGGGTAAGGAAAAGACCAGAATTTTAGACTCAAACCAATTTTAAATTTCTACCCTTCCCCACCTTGGACCTTGGAGAGCTACAATTTATAAATATGGGGGATAGGGAGACTTCATCGTTTTTTCTCTTTTTCTTGTTCTTTTCTAACGAGATGGATGCTGTTTGTGGTCTTTCCAGGGTTGGGATGTGAGGGTGATGGTGTGGAGTAGAAGAGGGGATGGGGGTAAGAAACACCTGTTACAAATATGGCCTGGCATTGCTGATCTCTGGATTTGGCAGGTTACAAATGTCTATTGTTCTTTCTCTTATGGAACGTATTTATGGCTCCTTGGCCACTTGGAGTCACCACCTTCACGTTCTGCTTCCTGAGATACTGAGGTGGCATCACCAGGGAGAAAACACTCCTGTGAAGGAGCTCCTCAATGAAACTCATGTCTGATTCCCTTCTGCAGAGTCCACGTTGGGCTCGTAAGAAATGGGCATCCTTGTCTGGCAATTATCGAAGGATAGCCGAATCTCACTGAGGACTTCTCATTCACTTGTTCCAACCATCCACTCATCTTTCAGTTTTTCATGAGTGAGCCAGCTATCAGTCCCTGTTTCCCCAAGTCACTAAATCATCATGAAGCCACACCTGCCCCGCCCTTATTTGGCTTGAGTATCGTATAACTTCGTATAATGTATGCTATACGAAGTTATTACGATGGCTCCTTGGCCACTTGGAGTCACCACCTTCACGTTCTGCTTCCTGAGATACTGAGGTGGCATCACCAGGGAGAAAACACTCCTGTGAAGGAGCTCCTCAATGAGACTCATGTCCGATTCCCTTCTGCAGAGTCCACGTTGGGCTCGTAAGAAATGGGCATCCTTGTCTGGCAATTATCAAAGGGTAGCCGAATCTCACTGAGGACTTCTCATTCACCTGTTCCTACCATCCACTCATCTTTCAGTTTTTCATGAGTGAGCCAGCTATCAGTCCCTGTTTCCCCAAGTCACTAAATCATCATGAAGCCACACCTGCCCCGCCCTTATTTGGCTTGAGTAGAAAGAAAGGACTTCCTGCCTTCCTGCATGAGATAGGAGAACAGAAAGACTATAGCACACCTGCAACTTTTTCTATTAACTCAACAGAAAAACAGGAAAAGGCAATGACAGACAATTCATAGAAGAGGAGAACTGATAGACCAACAAACATTTGAAGAAAAACCATACTAGTAAACAGAGAAAGACAAATTAAACCAAGCTCGAGACACAATCTTTATACTCCAGCTCACTAATTAAAAAATAGAGATTTAGCAAAGATATTAACATATACACATACATTGTTTGTGTGAATGAGAATTGATGGAGTCTTTTAGGAGAGTGATTTTGCAATATGTATTAAAATAAAAACTCTATATACCTTTTGATCCCGCCACCAGACCAGCATCCAGTTATCTGTCTAGAGAAATTCCAGCAGAAATACCAAATATGCAAGTGCTAAAATGTTTATCACTGCATTACTTTTAATTTTTCAAAAACAAAAAGCAACTTGAATGTCCATAAAAAAAGAATAACAAAACCAATTATGTTGCACCCAATAAAATGGATGCAACAGTTAAATGAATAAGCTAAAGTGATATGTAGGAAAGGTTTCAAAGATGTATTGTTAGGTGAAAAAAAAAGCTGTTAAAAATGTATATTAATGGTACATTTAAGAAAATAGATAAAATCAGGAATATCTCCTTGTATACATATACCTATGTTTGTGAATGCATAGAAAAATACTTCAAACCAACTTTTTGTAATAAAAGTTTCCAACTGATGAGTGATTAGTTTTGAAGAGGGGACTGGAACAGGCGGAAGGGAGGTCGGGTAAGACTTTAGTATTTACAATGAGAATATGCTACATGTGTGATTACACGTAATTTTACAAAACAATTTAATATACAATAAAATGAGTGGAGTTGTTAGAGGGGATCTTTAAGTTTATTTCAAACATAACTTTTAATATCTGTATTATCAGATTTACTAATTCTCAGAAGAGCCTATGAGAGCATTCATTATCATCAAACACTATTTATCTTATTAAGGATAGCGCTCCATAATAACTACTCACACCTAAATGTCTGTTCAAACAATAATTATAAAGTCTTTGCTATGGTTGTGAGTTTCTAAGATCACTCATACAGTTATGCTTTTCAGATAATAAACCAGACAAAATTTAATACATAGCACTTTGCCTTTATTATAATAATAATTAGCCAATTCCAGATGATATAGTAATATGCATAAAGAGAACTGTAACTTATATACTCTGAAGAGTAAATGTTTCATTCTGGGAATTGATTTAAATTGTATTTTACCCTTAGGCAACTGTTCATAAGCTATTCTTTAATGTGGATTCTTTAAAACCTATTTTCCTTTATGGTGTTTTTTTTAAATCATAATATGTGTGTGTTGTTGAGTCACATAATTTAATATTATTACAGTTCTTAAAAGATTAAATATAGATGTTGGAACCATAAATAGAATTACACAAATGTTACTTCATTATTTTCCCTATTTAGTACCTACATGAAAATGGGATTGTCCATCGTGATCTCAAACCAGAGAATCTTCTCTATGCAACTCCAGCCCCAGATGCACCACTCAAAATCGGTGAGAACATTTCCTGATGTCTCATGACCCCATTTCCCAGAGCAGAAAGAATTTATTCTGTGGACCTTTAAATTTCAGTGTTGCCTTCATTAAATTTCCTCAAATATTTGACATCTGTAAAGGAATAATGCATTGTTTTGAAAGCTTGTGCTCTTTCCTGGAATNTCCTGATGTCTCATGACCCCATTTCCCAGAGCAGAAAGAATTTATTCTGTGGACCTTTAAAATATTGTCCTATCCAGTGTTGCCTTCATTAAATTTCCTCACATATTTGACATCTGTAAAGGAATAATGCATTGTTTTGAAAGCTTGTGCTCTTTCCTGGAATGTTCATCTGGTAATAAGTGCCATGGAATTGGTGCTGCATTGCTGGGCACTCAGGAATCATACTCTTAGAAAGAGCAGGGACCTCAGGAGATGACCTTGTACTTTGTAGATAAGTTTTAGTAATGAGAATGACAGAAAACCTAACACTTCTTGTTTGGTTAGTAACTGTTATTCCACAAATTGTTGGAAGCTTAATTTTAGATAATCAAGAACTTTGACACAAAATACTTAGTACATATTAGTGAATCTAGGCTCCGAGTCACTTGTTTATATAAACAGAGATAAACTAAGATCTGTACTTCACAAAATGCACTCCACAGAGCACTGTTTCCTCAGCGGGGTAAGTAAGGGAAAGTAACTTCCTTTCTGGGAAGGCAGGAGTGATTTGCAGAGGTGCTATGGTTTGTCAAATAAATTAGGAAATGCCAATTTAAACAAAGTTAAACAAGATTTTTATTTCTGCAGGACTTCTCAGAACCTTAAAAATCCTAATGTGTACACAAACGTATTGTACAGTGTACTATGAAGCTTTTCCCAAACCTTATCTGACTCTGGAAACCTCTCTTTTTCTTCCCCCCAAATAAGCATTTTGAAGAACTACAGAAATGAACTTTTGGGTTGGCTAGTTGCTCAGTTGGTTAGAATGAAGTGCTGATAACACAGATACAGGGTTCAATCCCTGAACTGACCAGCCACACACACACACACACACACACACACACACACACAAAATTTGGAAAATTCTGATCTATCAAAAGAAACCTTTA